AACGAACGAACGAACGAACGAACGAACGAACGAACGAACGAACGAACGAATGAACGAATACATGACAAAATGTGGAAAAACCATAAAATGTGACATACCTCTCCAGTCTCTACCCGACCATAGAACAAGGCAGAGTAGGATGCACTTAAATAGAAGAAAAGAACACGAACGATTTGAAATGCTAATTTTTCCAACAAAGAAAACAAGCCAAAGTGCGGCTTTGGCGGGAAAATTTGCATCGCCAAATCTAAGAAAAATTCTTCATTTCAGTTAATTCAAATCATGTCACCGCAGAGGGCTTTATTCAGTTTACTTTTATCAGCAATAATAATACTGAGAAGTTCGTAAACATCTTAATTTCTCTCGCAAACAAAATTTCAAGAGAAGGCTCTACCCTCTGTCTCGCCTAATTTATTATAAGCCATCAAGAGAGCATAAATAAGAGAGGGAAACTTCTTAATAACGCGTGCGCCATGTAAATTTCCAATTGGGCTATTTTTAGTAACCGGATGAAGTTTAAATTTAGCCTTACCCCACTCCCGTGCGTCATCAACTTGCGCGGACGCGCTCTTTCCGTTTATTGTTTTGGTCACTAAAAACGAGAAGGAAAGAGTGAACGCGCGCAAGTTGATGACGCACGGGAGTAGGGTAAGGCGAAATTTAAACTGCATCCGGTTACTAAAAATAGCCTAAACGGGAATTTATTAAGAAGTAACCTTTTCTTATTTATGCTTTCTTGAAGCCATACTATAGAAGCAGCACATATAGTGTAGTTACATAGTGTCTGCAGTATGTACTGGTGTCTCATCGATGCCAGCCAGTTGCTGTGGTGCATACTCGTTACTTTTACCATCTTCTTTGTACGGATCATCATGAATCACCTTGATTCTCTCGGCTGAAGGTGGAAAGAAGGTGCCATTGGATAGCTTAGCCTGGGTAATCCGACAAAAATAATATGAGAAAGTTGACTTAGGAAATGAAAATTATAGATACCGACCAAGAGCAGAGCAGAGCAGAGCATAAATAACATAAATAGCATAAATAGCATAAATAAATAAACAAATATATCAAATATATACTACAACAAAGCGGAGCAGAGTATAGCACAGTAGAGGAGAAGAGAGGAAAGAGTTCAGAGATTAATTTACTATCTGAACATCACTCACCTTAACGAGAGTACATTGGACAGGTTTACCAACATTTTGCTTTAGAAGCTCTAATACCTTATCAAGAAAAATAAATAAAAAACATACATTGATATTCCTCTCAATTGGACATCACAATTTTCTTGCACTAGTCATGACCATAAACAAGAGATCATTTTATTTTCTCTTGCCTTAAATTAAAATTGAGCTATAAAGAAAAAAAATAATAAAAAAATAAAAAAATAAAAAAATAGAAGAATTATAACCAAACTTCCCCAGTTTACCGTGGTATGTCCTCTTATTACCACTATTTTTTTCATGTAACCGTCAAAATGTTGTACATACTCACGAGGCGTATTCGAGTAAATGTCTCAGATTTCATATCTTACATATCTTACGTTTTTTGAAATAGGAGTATAGCGCGTGCATGTTACGTCATGGCCGCCATCTTGGTTGATGATAACATTTCTCATTAGTTTCTTTTGTTTGATCAACCAATATTGCGGTTGCTTCATTGTTATTTATATCTCAAGGGATTTTGAGTCACACGACTGCACACTCTGCACAGACATGACCAAGAGATTTTTCAGGAACTGCCGGRGTTGTGCTAATAGTTGTTTGAAAGTAGCTCAACAAATTCCACAAAATTGGTATGAATTCCTATTTCAATAACCTTGGGGTTAAACATACAACCCCTTCTATCAGTTTACCCCCCTGATCAATTTACCCATGTGTTTACACTACCTTTCCATTTTTGATCTTCAGTAATGGTTGACCACACAGTTCATCTATTGTATCACCACATTCTATCCCAGCCTGGAAATAAAGCAAGATCCTTCAATAAGACGTTTGCACGATGTCATCATTTGAATTTTCTTTCTTATTCAAATTTGTATTCCCTCATGAGAATAGTAAGGMAATTGGTGCTAATTAACTGAACGAAAGAAAGTGTGCAAGGGAGTCTGGTAGTAGAGGTCAATGATGCCATCGTGCAAACGTCCTATTGATAAGTTGCAAACATTCCCAAGAGAGTCAAAAGACAAAAATATGACAGCCATCTTGGTGCGGTTAACAATGGATGATAATTACTACTCTTCCGATCCCAAAAGACCGAGGCAATTGTGATTTTTTATCGTCTTCGAAGCGTCTGTTATGTTAACTGCAAGTGCATTTCAAATCGTCCATGTGATACCAATGGTGTTCCACGTGGACAATTATTTCTACATCACATGGGTCTACTGGGAAGAGTAGTAGAAACCGCTTGTTAAATGGCACCAACATGGTCGCGATGACGTAACGTGCTTGTTGTCATAGTTACTGAACTTGGCCATTTTATTCTTAGTCAACTTACGTCACCAGCAGCTCCATTGTTTTTCACATGTGCTACTATCACCCTTCCATCGACGTGTCTAGAAGAATAAAAGACTTACACAATCATATATAGCAAAGTTTGCGCTGACGTCACCTATTGATATTAACGTGCCTACCAGAGATCTACTGGCTACTGAAACGACTGTTGAATTGGTTGGCAAATTTCAATGAGAAAAGATTCCTGACGTCAATGTTTTTTAACAGTGATTATATCGCTATTCTGTGTCTCATAATCTTCTATCCAACGTGTTTTTATAAAGCTATTTATAGTATAAATGTTATCTCGCTGTCTGATTGATTGGTGACGCACGCGCTATAAACCACACAGCACGCGTAATTTGATAGTGGTAAGAAAAGAGCGGGAAACTTTGACTTTCAACAAATGGTACACGCGTCTACCGGAAGAACTGAAAAAAGGCGGGAAAAGAGGATTACCAAAATTGAAAGACCGAGTTGTCCGGAATTTTCTTATCGGTTGACAAACAAGCATTTCCGGTTTTCTGGGTAAATATGGTAAGCACCCCCGAGCCAGTATGCAAGTACCGCTCAATCAATAAATCATACCTAACGACGAGGCCCAGTTCCTTGCACGGGACGATTTGCGTCTCTCTAACCTCCTAGGGGGAAAAATGGAATACAAACGTTCTTTAGCTAGGCTGGCGCGGAGCGAGTTCTAAATTTAAGCGACCGTGTTTTGTGGCATTGAATTTCTGTTTAGTATCGATAAGCCTACTCAAAAGGGTTGTCAGAGCCCATCAAGATAGAGGTCATCCTAAGAGCCAAGGTCAATATCAAGAGCCAAGGTCAATTAAATTTTGATTTCTTCTCGTTATAGACCTCCTAGGCTTTGGCGTAATGTTTTCCCATTTCAGACCATATGTCATTCCCTTGAGAAAAAGAATCTTTTTGTTGGAGTTGTATCCATACACTTATTTCAATAAAGTTAGTCACCAAAAAACCTAGAAAGCTGAGATCACTGAGCATCATGGGAAACTTTTCATATCAAAAAAGCATATATATACAAAGCTTTTTTGATACAAACTGCAGCTTGATGATGCTCAGAAGAGGTGAGACTGTAACCGGTAAAAGATTCGCAAGTCCATGAATAGTTATCAAGCGGTTGAAACATGTAAAATGAATCTACCCATAATCCTTGTCGGCCTCAGCTTTATAGCTTTTCAGGTGACTAACTTTATTGAAATAAGTGTATCTCGTGTTCAMCCGTTAAACAAAGAAACGATACTCTAGGGAATGACGCGTGGTCTGAAATGGGAAAATATTAAGCTCGAGCCGAAGAAATCGATCAATTAGGGTGCGTAGAAAGCTCAAAATATAATACACGATAGTGCCTTTTCCCTTGGTTTCTTAGACTTACAAAAAGTCTCCCATCATAGTTCTCGCGCGCTGAGTATTTTTAAAAGCACAGGCAGCCCAACCAGGATCACACGCGTTGGACCTCCCGCAACTTCGACGCTCGCTTGTTTTCCCTTGCTTAGCTCGTGATTCTGTGAGTCTAAGAGAGTTCTGCTTTTAATTATTAGTGTTGCTTTCAGTCGATGGAGTCATTTTCATAAACATCTCAATTTTATTCCTTTCGGTCTTAGAATGACTATCATTTTTTATCATTACGAGGTTTTGAGGAAAAACCTGCATGGCATCGCATTGCATTGTGGGACATATTTCCAAGATGGCGTCTATTTCGTTCCCTAAAACAGCCCTGCAATGCACTGCTGTGCCAACTCGACTCCGTTTTTTCCTCAAACACGGAATGGCAAATCTCTTTTTCTTTTTAGATTTCTATTTGAATAAGAAAGAAAAAACGGAGTACTGTATAGGATTCTCGTACTTACCGGTATTATCCAACACTCATCCAGAAAACTTGCATTCTACGGATCAAGAAAAAATGATATTAAGCACCTGAAGCTCGTTCAAGACTAATAAACCATAACATCGGTAGTTGATATTGGTCGCGTGCCTTTTTCTATTAAATTCATATGCCAAATCATTCTCGTACCCAGAGCCCAAGTTCGCTTAACCAATAGACGACTTGCACTAACAGGTCACGTGACCCTGCCTCCCTTAAAACGAGCAGTTGTGTGAAAACGAACTTTGGAAATGAAAAGAGCAGCTCAACATTAGTAAGAGGGCGAAGTTTCAGCTCATAATGTTGACTATAGGATAAATGGCTTTAAATATAAAATGGAATATTTCATAAGAATTTGTATGGGAAAATGCGCTAGCTTTGGCACCCAGCATAGAATATTCCATTTCATATTAAATGCCATTTCTCCTTTTTCGTTTGTTATGAGCTAAACTTCCACCTCCCTACTAATGTCGAGGTGCTCTTCTCATTTCTGTTGTTCATTTTGACACAGCTGCTCGTTTTAAGGGAAGTAGGGTCACGTGACCTGTCAGTGCAAGTCGTCTATTCATTCTTAAGAAGTCATACCTTAAGGTTCAATTCAAATACATGCTTGCCAAGGTCGTCCAAGACCTGCCGGAATGTTTCTGAAACGTTAATTCAAGAATAATAATAATGACAGCTATTTCAAAAAAGGTTGAAGAGCGAACAGTCGCGAAAGACGATCGGTGATTGGTAATTTTGCACTGCCACGTGACGGCAGCCATGTTAGATGGCAGTAACAATACAATCGTTTTAATTTACATGAGGAAAAATTCAATTCCCGAGAGCAAAGGGATTTTAATTATTGTTCTGCCATCTAACCACAGGAAGCCCAAGCTGTATTATAGGATGGGCACATGATGGTTCAAAACCAAAGGAACTGTGGGGATACATTTACGTACACACGGAGAATAGAGGAGTCTTAAATGGTTTCGAAGAACCCTAAATAAAGACGTTTAGCACGACGTTCTTGCTAAGTACCGCAAACCTCAACTCCGACTCGACGTCAAGCGTTTCCCGCCAAACTTTCGACATTTATCAAGGCGTAATAACAGAGTCGTTGCTGAAGGAGACGCCATATTGAATTTCATTGATGCTGAGTGTTTCTCCGTGTTTTCTGGGCCTGATCCCTAGCGGTTAACAGTAAACCTGATGCTAAAGGCCTCTAAGATATCCCAACAATGGCGTCTGTGTTATTGATAAGAACAATAACAAGAAAGGCTTCAGTCATTCAAACTATTTTTGTATCTTAGAAGATGGCCGCTGTGTTCTTGTCTTTTATTTCTCTTGTCTAGTTGCGACAATGGACGATTTTCGAGATGCGTAAGCGCTTTAATAAATATCGGAGGTGCAGACACGAAAACGGTGCATTTTCGGGCAGTTCATAAAAATCTTTGGAAACCATAGAGTTAATTTCCAAGGCGATTTCTGAAACCCTTGAAGAAAAGATTTCATCTGAAGTGAAAAGGTAAGAGTTATTATCCTCTCGCATTGGTCTTGTCCGAAAATGCCTTGTTTAATTTCTAGTCTGAGCAAGGGATACTTTTGACAGTGCTCACGCATCGATCTTGAAAAAGTTATATTCCGTTTTATAGCAGAAAAAGTTGCTACACTGTACATACCTGACATAACTTTGTCGGTAAGCAATGAAGACTCGCTGTACCAGTTCTGTGTAAATTCAAACAGTACAATACAAATATAAAAAAAACTAATGACATTGCGCCTAATCATTGGTTATCCAAGATCAGAAGGCGTAAACACTGCGCCGAGTCACGTTACGTGATAACGCTATGCATTTCACGCCAAGATAGGGGACAAGTAGATCATTTCTCAAAGTTGTCGTGAAATTTCTGTCTAGCTCAAGAAACTCGATCTCTCGTCATTCTCACTCAGCACCATTAACGCATAGCTTTTTTGAGAAAATGTTGGAAAATCAGTAATCTAAGTGAATGACTTTGATCAGCCCATTGCAGTGGTTCTTTCAGGGTATCGATAAGATTTAAATCGGGTTTTTAAATACCTTTAATAACTTTCTATTATCTTGAATAGTTTGGACAATATATCCCATCAGCTTTTTCATCAGGGCGATGCGAATAAATATGCGACCAAATCCCTGGTATGTCTGTACCTGCAAACAATACCAGATAATGCACAAGTTGAGCTGATTATAAAATTGTCTAGTGAATAAAGCAAACGGCAAAGTACCTTCTGCGACGATTTGGTGAAAGTGATGGCGTGTAGAAGAGCCAATGATTGCCTGTAAGAGACGGCCAGTTAGTTGGAAATTGATATAGAAATACTGAGAAGAGAAGAGAAGAGAAGAGAAGAGAGAGAAGCATTGGCGTAGCGAGAGTATACCAGAGTTGGAGGGGCGAGCAGACGCGTTTTTCAAAAGTCAAATCAAAAGTTAGCTTTATGATATTTTTTCAAATCAAAAGTTAGCTTTATATAATATTTTAGTCAAACTTTTCCCCATCCCCTCCCAGCTAATCGCCCTACTCCCCCTCCGCTAAGCTTCTCAAGGCAAGGCAAGGCAAGGCAAGGCAAGGCAAGGCAAGGCAAGGCAAGGCAAGGCAAGGCAAGGCA